TGATGTTAAAAGTGTATTTTACTTCATACTTCAAATGATAGATTACAGCTAGAATAGGTACACACAAAAGGTCAAGAGCATATCTAATCAGATCATGCCTTTTACCTACAATATTTGACTATTATTCTACACACTTACCTACACTATATAGTTGAAATACTCTTGAATAATATCTTTTAACACTAACTAACATGTTTTGTACAAATCTCCTACTGTCAAGTTGAATCCCGGTAATAGTTGCATGAGAAGTTTATGTAACACATATTCAAAGCGCATGAGAGATCATATTTAAGGTGCTTATAATACACATAGGTGGATCCATATATGAGGTTGAAGGTGCCACCACACTCGAAAACCTCAATTAAATTTTTTATGTGTATATGTATATATGTATAAAAGATATAATGTATATTAATTCGACACGTATCCGTTGACATTTTCTGAAGAGTCCGAGCAACATAGAAGATGATTAAGTTGAAACAATTGCAGCCTTCGAAAATTGAGAATATTGGATCCACACTTTCATAACCTTTTTCAATTAAATACCAATACAACGCTCAATTAACATGGCATGAGACTCAAATTTGACATAAGTCACGAGTCCTTAGAGCTTTGTCATTTGAACTAAGCTTCAGAGACTTAATTGACTAATTAGTCAAGGATAAGGCACAAGATTCCCTTAAATGGAGTTTCAAAGGTTGGATTACCCCATTCATTTTTTTCCAATTTTATATGCACTTTTGGCTTATGTGACATCCAAACATCTCCCGCACATTAACTACGTGGAGTCACAGAGTGTGCCACATAAATTAAAAGGTGTATAAAATTACAAAAATAAATAAATGAGTTCGAGGATAATAGAACCTTAATTTAGTTATCATGTGTGTGAGATTCCGGTCATAATCTAGGAAATTACTTAAACCTATTAACAATTTATTTTATTACGTCTCTAACAGTTTCTTTAATCTCAAAGAGTTCTTTTCAATCTATGAAAAAGGTATTCTTCTCCATTTCTGAAGTATTAATAATAGACCTTGATTAGTTTTCATTTCCCCATAAATAAGTTCACATTACTTAGCTAATTCATATTTGGAATGGAGAAACCACACAAAGCAACTCAATTTTTTTTTGGTCAACAAAAAGTGGAAGCAGTTACGAGAAATTTAGTATTTGGAAGATATTTCTCTCTATCACCTTTTTCCTCTCAAGAACAAAAATTGTTACGAGACATCTAGTATTTGGATGATATTTGATTGAGCAATGATCTCCTAGTAGTGGAGCTTTATTGAATGCCGCATCTAGACACAGATCAGAAACACCACGTTTCAAAGGATTCGAGTAGAAATAAGAGTGTGATTTTGCAAGGATCTTCTTCCGGTGAAGCTTTATTGAATGTCGCACCAGACAGAAATTCGAAAAACATGTTTCAAAGGACCTGAGTAGAAATAAGAGTATAGCTGTGCAAGGATATCTTACCATTGACACAAATAAGAAAAGACGTGTTACAAAGGACCTGAACAGAAATAGGAGTGTGGTTCTGCAGATCTCCTACCAGTGCAGCTTCTTTGAATGCCACACTAGACATAAATCATGAAAAAAAAGTTTCAAAAGACTTGAGTAGAAATAAGAGTGTGACTGTGCAAGGAAGGATCTAGATCCTTGCACAACACACTTTGAATTCTACTTAGGTCCTTTAAAACTTTTTTTTCATGATTTGTATCTGGTGTGACATTCAAAGAAGTCCCACTGGTAGGAGATTCTTGCACAACTACAATTCTGTTTCTGTTCAGGTCCTTTGAAATACGTTTTTCCTTATTAGTGTCAATGGTAGGAGATCCTTGCACAACCACACTCTTATTTTTACTCAGATCCTCTGAAACATGTTTTTTCCAATTTATGTCTGGTGCGACATTCAATAAGCTCCACCGGAAGAAGATCCTTGCACAACCACACTCTTATTTCTACTCGGGTCCTTTGAAACATGTTTTTCCTGATTTGTGTCTGGTGTGACATTCTAAAAAACTCCACTGCTCAGATATCCTTTAATAACAACACCTTTATTAGTACACGGGTCCTTTGAAACTGTTATTCAGATCTTTGTCTGGTGCGACATTCAATGAAGCTCCACTAGTAGGAGATCTCTTCACTTTGATGCCGCACCCGTTTCAGACTCTTAAAAAATACACTACTTTTGGTGAATTCGACACGCACGCATGAACATTTAAGAGTCTGAGCAACATAGAAGATGATTGAGTTGAACAAATCGCAACCTTTGAAAATTGAGAATATTGGATCCACTTCTATATCCTTCTTTAGTTAAATACCAATACAAAGCTCAATTAGCATGACATGAGAATCAAATTTGTCTAGGGGAGTACTTGTGCCTATTCCAATTAATTCTATTATGTCTCAACAATTTCTTTAATCTCAAAGGGTTCTTTTCTATCTATGAAGAAGGTATTCTTCTCCATTTTTGAAATGTGAATAACAGACCTTGATTAGTTTTCATTTTCCCATAAATAAGTTAACATTGCTTAGCTAATTCATATTTGGAATGGAGTAACCACACAAAGCAACTTAATTTTTTGTTAACAAAAAATGGAAGCAGTTAGACATGAGACAACTAGTATTTGGATGATATTTCACGTGTATATTGGAATCAGTTACACATGAGACAACTAGTATTTGGATGATGTTTCTCTCTGTCAATTTTTTTCCTTTAAGGTTAAAAATGATATCGCCAAAAAAAGTTCTGGCTCTTGACCGCTCACAGAAAAGAAACTAAATAAAACAAAGAACCAAAAACCCAAACTATTCCTCTTTATCACTTTTTTTCTCTAAAAGACAGAAAATGGCATCGCCAATAAACCGTTCTGGCTCTTGACCACCCACAGGAAAGAAAAACAAACAAGGAACCAAAAACCCAAATTATTCCTCTTTATCACTTTTTTCATCTGGCCAAGAAGATGGAAGCGTCAAAAAAACGTTCTGGCTCTTGATTGCCCATAGGAAAGAAGAGGTGGTCATAATCGTCTGATGATAAACCTCCTTCTTCGTGCGTCCAAAGATTTACACATATTTATTTAGTGAATATTTAAGTTTAATTTGAATTAAAAAATATTGAGAGTCAATTAAGGAATTGAAGAAATTGATAGTTGTTAATCAAATTCTTGCTATGGAAGGAGATATGCATTTTAATTATTGAAAGTCGATAAATTTAGAATAAAGCAATATTTGGATAAAATATCCTCAAACGCCTAAATGTAGTAATTTATACTTATTTACTTGGGGCACTGGCAAAATCTATCTATTGATTCAACAATTTGTTAATCTACTTTGAACTAACCTTCAGGAACTTAATTGACTAATTAATCATAGGTCTAACTCATCGATGACCCCCTAATTAGCATAATATAACACTTAGACATTTTAACGGGATGATCTTCATTTAGAAAGACCTCATGTAGTGTTTTACTATGTCATTTTGACACTTTTTAGATACATGGCATAATGAGTGAGATACATTCGTTGACCGGTGCATGAAAATGCTTTTTAGTTAATTTTTAATTCATCTTTAATTTCTTTAAACTAAGCTAAAAAATTATTTGAGATAGTAATGGTGTGCAAATGTGGAGTGGGGTAGAATCTGCAAAAGAATTGGGGAGGTTGCACTACAACAAAAATAATTTTTAGTGGCATTAAATATTAAAACTAATAAAAAGTGTTAAAGTCTTTATTGCCATTAGTTAAATATCATTAAAATCAATGTCACTAAAGACTTTAGGAACATATACAAATTGCCGCTAAAAATACATATTTAGCGGTAATTAAGAATTAAATGTCGCTAATGATTATTTTTTTTGTAGTGTTGGAGGGGGGAGGGGTTGGAGAAGACGACGGGGTTGTGGGTTTTTCTTCGTTTTTTTCATTTAATTATTTGGAAAAAATTATGTGTCATTGATCCGTTTTTATTTTATTCAGACATAATTATTTAAAAATAATTGTTGATACAAATGACAAATGTCATCATTTAATTTGTCACTTTACGCATCATTTGTGAGCATAACACGTGCACATTATAAATTTTTGCTTATATTAAAAATTAGGGTCAAAATGGCATAGCAGGATTCTACATCAAGTGTATACAGTAAACGTTGTCTAGTCAAGATGTCTAATTGAAACATCATGCCAATTCTAGGGGGCACCAATGGGTTAGGCCTAAATTATATTATCCCTAAACAACTTCTTTAATCTTGAGGGATTCTTTTCTATCTACGAAGAAAGAATTCTTCTCCATTTTCGAAATAAAGACCTAAATTAGTTCTCTTCATCATAAGTAGGTTCATAATACTCTACTAAATCACATTTGGAATGAAGTAACCACACAAAGCAACTTAACTCAATTAGTGTTTTTTTTTCTTTCAAAAAGTAGATGAAAACCGTTACACATGAGACAATCAGTAGTTGGTGATATTTCACTTTGTACCATGTGTTCGTAGCATTGTTATCTATTCTATGGACTGCTTATACAAGTATTTGCAGTAGGTTGTCTCGTTTTTAAACTAGTTTTTCTAGTACAACATTAGGGAAAATGTATTAACAATTGTTGATACATATAAGTAATTATATTTTGGTTGTGAATCCTGACAGATGACATATAAGTTTCAAAATTTTTTTTAATACTAATGATATATTCAATAATTATGCAAAAATTTTATAAATGACAATAATTAACAACTTAAATTTTTAGGAGACATTTAAAGAAATTTTGAAATTTTGATTATATTACTCCTTAAAATAAACGCCTCTACTCAAATTTAAAGCTTATTTGGAAAAACTTTTATTTTTTAGCTTATTTTAATTACTTTTAACTTAAAATTCAAGTACTAATAAATGCTTTTCTAATTTACCTGAACACACTTAAAAAAATAAATATTTTTCTTAAAATAATGCTTCATAACATCCGCACCTACCACCTGTCAAATCAATAAATACTGCCTAACCAAAACTAATGAAAACCAAAAACCCAAACCTATCACTCTTTTCCTCTCAAAGATTGAAAAAAAAATGGTAGAAAAAAGAGGTTATCATCATCGTCCGATGATAAATCTCCTTCGCTATGTCCAAAGGTTCACACAGATTAATTTTTCACTTTATTTTTTTTAGTATTTGCTGAGTCAGTTGATTTTTAATTATTTTTTTCTCTGATTCTTCTAGGCAAATGATAGCAATGTTGGTTCATCTGGAAAATCGATGCCGATCTTGGAGGTTTTCTATTAGTAGTATTTCTTATTTTATAATCATTCCTTTTTTTTCCTGTTCGGGTTTCCGTATTTGCGTTTAATCTTTATTAATTCAGATTTTCACCGTTTAGGTCCTATTTGGCAGAAAATATATCAAGGATTTTTTCAGACTCACAACACAAACTTAGAATTATATTCAACATTGAAAAGTCGGCTTGAAAAGCTTCCTGATATTGTAATTACTTTTGGTTCCACATGCTCATACAGATAATCACAAGGACAAGGTACTATTTGAGATCACATTGCCGACGAATATATGCATGTGATTATATCTTTTTCTGTTATATCTTTTCATAAACAAACTCTCTACCTCCATGAGATAGTGATAAGGTCTGCGTATATTTTACTCTCCCGAAACCTATGTTGTTGTTTTTGTTGCTGGAGTTGTGTATAATATACCTGCTATGGATGTTTCATATGGATTATATTTCTTATCTATATATAGTAGTTATTGGTGTTCCCAAACTTTGGTAGACTGAGGATTGATCAAGAGAATGAGAGGTGGCTCTTATTACAACAAAAAATTTCAAAGATCATCTTCAAACAACATATCAACTCTCTCACAGGTGTTTGACGTTGCCTAGGAAGTGTCAAACCACCTAAGTATATCTCACCATAACCTCATAGTCAATCATAAATCCTACTATTTGGAAAATTTAGGATTTGAAATCACGATATCAAATCGCATTGTCCAAAAGTTGATTTGAAATCATGATTCCAAATTCAGATTGTAGAGTTGATAGGAAGCTTGTAATTGATTAGTTTTGGAGGTGGCCAGCATATCCTTAATGGCGATGAATACAATTTACTAATTTTTTTTTTAAAAAAATAAAAATCGTGATTCCAAATTGCATGTCCAAATTGCCTACTAATTTTCTAGTTTAGAATTAAATCCAAACTCGGTATGAACGACAATAAAAAGGAAAAAAATAAGAAAAAATTTATGAAATCGAACATTTGTGCAACATCCTTTCATAATCATAAATGAGGTTCGATTATATGATCTATGACAATCCTTTCCTCTTGAATTATGTTGTGTGTGGTTGAGTTAGCCCATTTGACATGGTATAAGAGTCCGGCGTATCCTAATTATTACTTATCTGATGATTTGCTAAATTTGTTTGTCATTAGAAGCTACTTAATGATATAGTAGATATTGACGGATGAACTCATGAACAAATTCGTGTCCAACCCCAGGGATGCTGCGACATAAAATGAATTTGAAAAGGGTTGCGCACAGAGGATTCTGAACGAGTTATGATACTTGCAGCAACAAACACGCCATTTCATCAGGTTGTGATAAGGCGACTGTCCCGTAGGTAAAAGAGGAACGACTAATTTGTAGATAATATTTAAATAGAGTTTTATATATCACTTGCTTAATGCCCTTAATATGTCTTCTCTGTACAGGTTGATGGTCAATTTACCAGATGCTCCAAACAACGCAAAAATTCTAAAGTTGATACTCACAAAAGAAGACTTGGCTCATGATGTCGATCTAGATTCAGTTGCATGCATGACAAATGGATATTCCAAAAGTAACCTTAAGGTGTCTGTACTATTCATGTTTGCTTGGATAAATTACTAGTCCTATTTCATCATTCTGAAAACAAAGCGTGTTCAAACTTCAAAATGATGAAACAGGACTAATCGTTTATTTAAGCAAACATGATTAGAAAAAACACCTTAAGGTCACTTCCTGAATATCCATTTGTTGTATTTGCAATTGAATCCAGATCAACATCCTGAGCCAAGTCTTCTTTGCGAGTATCACTTTTGGATCTGTGTATAGCAGCTGCATATCTACCCATTAGAGAGATAGTAGGAAAATAAAAGAAGTTTAAGCTTTTCTATGTTTGATGTTAGTTCGTTGGTTGCTTAACTAAGATAGAAAATAACATGTTGGCTAAGGTATAGCTTTCTCTGCTTGATGTTTGTTCGTTGATTGCTTAACTGAGGCAGAAAATAAGATGTTGGCTCTTCCAATAGATTTTTTTTCTCCACGATTCTGTTAAGGATGTCAATTCCACTTTCTTTTGATAATTTTCATGGGTTTTAGAGGATCCTTTGAAGCATCTTTAATTCAATCATCACAGATCTGATGTGGATTTTTTTTCAAATTTAATTCTACTCATATCCTTTAAAACTTCTTTTTTCATGATTTGTATGCGGTGTGGCATTCAAAGAAGCTCCACTGGTAGGAGATCCCCGCACAACTATACTTCTGTTTGTGTTCAAGTCCTTCCAAATATGTTTTTCCCGATTAGTGTCAATGGTAGGAGATTCTTGCACAACCACACTCTTATAAACGTGTTTTTTATAATATCTGTCTAGTTTTGCCAAAAAAAAACGTTTTGGCTCTTTACCGCCCACAGGAAAAAAACAACAAAAGGAACCAAAAATCGAAACTATTCCTCCTTATCACTTTTTTTCTCTATTCAAGAAGATGGTATCGCCAAAAAATGTTCTAGCTCTTGATTGGACACACGAAAGAAGAGGTGATCATAATCGTCTGATGATAAGCCTCCTTCTTCGGGCGTCAAAACTTTTATACATATTTATTTGGCATAATAAATATATTGGATCCTAAACTTGATTCAAATTTTAACTTTTACCTTTAACTTTCATAATGCACAAACAAACACTTTAACTATTCAACTTTTAAATAAATAAACACATGAGTCCTACATGACACAATACACGTAAGACACCACTTAGGACGAAAAATAACATGTACGATGACATGTAGAACATGTGTGTCTGTTTGTTCAATTTTATACAAGTTTAAGTGTCTATTTGTGCACACCCAAAATTGAAGAACACAAATATGATTGAAGTCAAGTTAAAGGACATATTTTTGTATTATGGCTACTTATTTAGTGAATATTTTAGTTTGATTTGCATTAAGAAAAAATTGAGAGTCAATTGCTATATTGGATAGTTACATTTAAGGAATGGGAAAAAGGATAGATATATCCCCGAACTATTGTAAATGATATGCAAATACCCTTCATCATACTTTTGGGACACTGGTTCCCCTGTCGTCATACTTTTGGAACATTGATACCCCTGTCGTCATACTTTTGGGACATTGGTGCCCCTGCCGTCATACTTTGGGGACATTAGTGCCCCTGCCCCTTCGTTAGAGTAAAGGGCATATATGCTCTAATTTATGGACGACAGGGACACCAATGTCCCAAAAGATGACGGCCGCATACCATTTATGGTAGTTCGCGGATATATTTATCCTTTTTTTCTTAAGGAATTGAAAAACTAATAGAGTAATAGTTGTTAATCAAATTCTTGCTATGGAAGGAAATTGCATTTTAATTATCTAAAGTCGATAAATTTAGAATAAAGCAATATTTGGACAAAATATCCTCAAACGCCTAAATGTAGTAATTTATACTTAATTTACTGGGGGCAATAGCAAAATCTATCTCTTGATTCGACAATTTGTTAATCTACTTTGAACTAACCTTCATGAACTTAATTGACTAATTAATCATAGGTCTAACTCATCGGTGACAAGACATTTTAACGGGACGATCTTCCTTTTAGAAACACCTCATGTAGTGTTTCCCTATGTCATTTTGACACTTTTTGGGTACATGGCATAATGAGTGACATACACTCGTTGACCAGTGCATGCTTTTTAGTTAATTTTTAATTCGTCATTAATTTCTTTAAAAATAGCTTTAAAATTGTTTGAGATAGATATGATGTGCAGATGTGGAGTGGGATAGTTTCTGCAAAAGAATTGGGGTGGTTGGGGGAGGGTTGGAGAAGACGACGGGGTTGTGAGTTTTTCTTCTTTTTTTTCCCTTCAATTATTTGGAAAAAATTATGTGTCATTGATCAGTTTTTATTTTTATTCAAAATTTAAAAATGATTGTTGATACAAATGACAAATGTCATCATTTAATTTGTCACTTTACGTGTCAATTGTGAGCATAACTCATACACATTATAAATTTTTGCTTATATTGAAAATTAGCGTCAAAATGACATAGCGAAATTCTACATCAAGTGTATACAATAAACATTGTCTAGTTAAGATGTCTAATTGAAACATCATGCCAACTTTAGGGGGTATCAATTTAATTATATTATCGCTAAACAACTTCTTTAATCTTGAGGGATTCTTTTCTATCTACGAAGAAAGAATTCTTCTCCATTTTCGAAATAAAGACCTTCCTTAGTTTTCTTTTCACCAAAAATAGGTTCACAATATTACTCAATTAATTCACATTTGGAACGAAGTAACTCACACAAAGCAACTTAACTCAATTAGTGTTTTTTTCTTTCAAAAAAGTAGATGAAAATCGTTGCACATGAGACAATCCGTAGTTGGTGATATTTCACTTGTACCATGTATTCGTAGCATTGTTATCTATTCTATGGACTGCTTATACAAGTATTTGCAGTAGGTTGTGTTGTTTTTAAACTAGTTTTTCCGGTACAATATTAGGATAAATGTATTAACAATTGTTGATACATATAATTAATTATATAAGTTTCAAAAAAATTTAAACACTAATTATATATTCAATAATTATGCAAAAGTTGTATAAATCACAATAATTAACAACTTAAATTTTTAAGAGACATTTAAAGAAATTTTGAATATACTACTCCTAAAAATAAAAGCCTCATTACAATAATCAAATTTGAAGCTTATTTGGAAAAAAACTTATTTTTTAGCTTATTTTAATTACTTTTAAGTTAAAATTCAAGTACTAATAAATGCTTTTCTAATTTACCTGAACACACTTAAAAAAATTAAATTTTTTTCTTAAAATAATGCTTCAAAACATCCGCACCTACCACCTGTCAAATCAATAAATACTGCCTAACCAAAACTAATGAAAACCAAAAACCCAAACCTATCACTCTTTTCCTCTCAAAGATTGAAAAAAAAAATGGTAGAAAAGAGAGGTTATCATCATTGTCCGATGATAAATCTCCTTCGCGATGTCCAAAGGTTCACACAGATTAGTTTTTCGCTTTATATTTTTTTAGTATTTGCTGAGTCAGTTGATTTTTAATTATTTTTTTCTCTGATTCTTCTAGGCAAATGATAGCAATGTTGGTTCATCTGGAAAATCGATGCCGATCTTGGAGGAATCCAAGAATATTGAATTCACATGTCATTCAGGTGCTGAAACGGAGAAGCCTTGCTGCCAACTTATATCAGAGTTTCTGGAGGTTTTCTATTAGTAGTATTTCTTATTTTAAAACCATTTCTTTTTTTTCCTGTTCGGGTGTATGTGTTTGCATTAAATCTTTATTAATTCAGATTCGCACTGTTTTGGGTCCCATTTGGCAGAAAATATATTAAGGATTTTTTCAGACTCAAACACAAACTCGACATCTCTGGTTAAAACAGTAACAACGCCATCCACTGCATTTTTGCTGGTTCTTTATCTATTTTTGCTGTTGAATTTCTTTGATATAATGTGAATACACTGCTCACCTTTTGTTTGATATCTAATAGAATGTGAATACATTGCAGAATCCAACAGTGGATATTTCTGGGCAACATTTCATGGCTGGTGCAGGCAAAGACATGCAATGATTTGTGTGATAAATCGTGAAGAGGTAGTGCTCTAATTTAGATTACCTTGACTCTCCTCACTATTTTTAATGTTGCTTTGTTCTATTGTTCGGTTCGGTTCGGAAAACCACCCGAGAATTGAGTTTGGAGTATTCTCTTTGGGCATTGCAGTATTCCCTGGAACCTCTTCAGGCATTATGAGCAAACTACTACCATAGCAATTTGAATATGAAACATATAGCACATTGAAGGACTGCATTAGTTGGCTTTTTTTTTTATTATTGATATCTTAGATGAATTTTATATTGTATATACAATATGATTAATCATTGTTTGTGGAAACGATCAGTACCAAAACTCGATGGCTTTGATTGAGAGGAATGGAAGCAGAGAACCATACCCTTGGGTGGAATACTAGTGGGCTTCTCAATTCTGGCGATCAGATCGTCTTCCTCTCAATCTGTGAGCTGTGCTTAGACGCCCCTGCTGTGGATTATCCGGACAAGTTACTCGCTAATACATTGTTTGAGGTGTGAATTCTTTCTATGAATATAAAACATTGCAAAGTGGAATTTCTGTTCCTTCCTTTTTTGGGTTAAACTTTACTCTTTACATTTCATTATACTTTTTCAGGCTGGCTGTATTCAATGAGAGCCAGAATTTGCTCATTTTGTTTGTGAAAGATTAAATCCAAACTCGGTATGAACGACATTAAAAAGGAAAAAAATTTATGAAATCGAACATTTGTGCAACATCCTTTCATAATCATATATTGAGGTTTGATTATATGATCTATTACAATCCTTTCCTCATGAATTATGTTGTGTGTGGTTGAGTTAGGCCATTTAACATGGTATAATAGTCTGGCGTATCCTAATTATTACTTATCTGATGCTTTGCTAAATTTGTTTGTCATTAGAAGCTACTAAATGATATAGCAGATATTGACTGATGAACTCATGAACAAATTCGTGTCCAACCCCAGGGATGTTGCGACATAAAATGAATTTGAGAAGGGTTGTGCACAGAGGATTCTGAACGAGTTATGTTACTTGCAGCAACAAACACGCCATTTGATCAGGCTGTCATAAGGCGACTACCCCATAGGTAAAAGAGAAACGATTAATTTGTAGATAATATTTAAGTTGAGTTTTATATATCACTTGCTTAATGCCCTTAATATGTCTTCTCTTACAGGTTGATGGTCAATTTACCAGATGCTCCAAACAACGCAAAAATTCTAAAAATGATACTCGCAAAAGAAGACTTGGCTCATGATGTCGATCTGGATTCAGTTGCATGCATGACAAATGGATATTCCAAAAGTAACCTTAACGTGTCTGTACTATTCATGTTTGCTTGGATAAATTACTAGTCCTATTTCATCATTCTGAAAACAAAGCGTCTTCAAACTTCTGAATGATGAAACATGACTAATCGTTTATTTAAGCAAACATGATTAGAAAAAACACCTTAAGGTCACTTCATGAATATCCATTTGTTGTATTTGCAATTGAATTCAGATCAACATCCTGAGCCAAGTCTTCTTTTGCGAGTATCACTTTTGGAACCTGTGTATAGCAGATGCATATCAACCCGTTGGAGAGATAGTAGGAAAAAAAATTGTAGCTTTTCTATTTTTGATGTCAGTTTGTTGGTTGCTTAACTGAGCTAGAAAATAACATGTTGGCTAAGGGTAAAGCTTTCTCTGCCTGATGTTTATTCGTTGATTGCTTAACTGAGGCAGAAAATAAGATGTTTGCTCTTCCAATTGATTTTTTTCTCCGCGATTATGTTATGGATGTCAACTCCACTTTCTTTTGATAATTTTCATGGGTTTTAGAGGATCCTTTGAAGCATCTTTAATTCAATCATCACAGATCTGATGTATTTTTCGTTTTTCAAATTTAATTCTTTGGTACTTATGGTAATCCTGCTTTCTTTGTTAAAGAAAAAGACAGTCTGGTGCATGAAGTATCCACCTCATTCGGTGCCCGGTGCATAGAAGGGCTGAGCTTCTTGAGTGGAATGATCTGTATGGAGAAGGGCTCTCGAAAGAAGCAGTCTCTGAAATACATCATGTAAAGACTCTCTATATGTAAATGTTTATTCTTCCTTGGTAAAAATCTTGATTCCGTCAAATATGATTTGGTACTTAAAGCACAAACTTATGAATTGATTCTGTTATTTATGTGGAGAAGGGCAGAGTAGCAAATCCATCCTTCTCTAGCTGTGTTTATAGTTGGCCTAAAAGATATGTTTTGGATGAATTTTTCAATCATCATTAAAAGAAAAGATAATTAATTACGCATCATGGCATTTAACTTATACTAATGGTCGAGTGATGGATGGGGTTCGAATGGCGTTTTAGTGTTAGTCTAAACAATGAAAATGGTGGTTCAGATATTTCTTGCGTTCATTCACTTTTAAAAATAATCGATATGATTTTGCAGTGTTTTACAAAATTATTTTTTATTTTATCTTCATTTTTTACTTATAAAAAATATTTGAAAGATTATTTCTTCCATCGGCAAATAGTCATTTATTTGTTTGAGTTAGGGTGTTTTTGAAAATAAACTTTCTTTGAACTTCATTTTACAAACGTAAATTGTGTTGTAGTGGTGGATTGTTTTACCCTGAACTACAAATGTTTTGATATGAACTCTGGATATAGAGAAAATGAGCATCATGAGTTTTAGATATGGGCAAAATCTTGTTGGAAGTGTTGCCTCCAAATGCATCTGCTATGCATTTTTCGGATTTTGTTGAAGCTTTAGTATGGAGATTCAAAAATAATTTTTTCTTTTAAAATGATTGTATCAAACTTTCCTTTATCTTTTAAGAAAAATCCGAAAAAGGTCATATTTCCCTCTGTACTCTTAGATAATGATTATATTTGTCTTCGTCATACTTTTTTGATATATTTATTCTTGTCATTCAACTTTGTTACTTTAAGACTATATTTAACCTCCATCGGCTAAATCTCCATATTTTTACGTAATATTATCTATGTTGTGCCTGAGTGGATTTTAATTTTAATCTAATTAAATCTAAGCATTGTTAAAATCATTTTAATTCATTACATTGAATTAAACTCCATCCCCTAATGAACCCAAGACCAAAGCCCTTAACTATCAGATTCTATCACTATTGAAAAATCGAAACATTATCATAGACCATTATAGCAGTTCCATCAAATAAATAGATAATACCAAATATTTTAGATATATTTGCTTCAAATTTAGTCTGATCTCTTTCCCGTTTCACCACCAATAATCACCAAAAATTCACTTAAATCATTCATCTCTATTGTTAAACCTCACTTCACGTAAACCATCTATGAAACAGAGCACCTGTAGAATGTTTGTAAAATTTTACTTATTATTAATAAAATGCTAATTAAAGATGAAAGCTAGTTTTAATTTACTTAACAAAAATTAAATGCTAAAATCTATATTAGTTCTAAAGTTGAGTGTTGTCTAATGAGAACGAGGAGATATATAATTTTCTATACTTGTTCCAATAGAGATGCCCGTGAAGAAAATTTACGCAGAAGAATCAAGTTGGGTCTTATTTTAATTAGTGGATTGAGTTTAATGTATGGAGCAAATTAAAGTGATTTTAATAATATTTAGATTTAATTAGATAAAAATGAAATTCACATAGACATAATAATATTATGTGAAAATATGTGGATTTAATGAAGAGCAACTTTTACATTGAGCAAATAAAAAATTTATATTTGTATGCTATAGCAAAGTTTGCATAATTGCGCTCCATAGCAAACATAGAAACTGTATAATTCGCTATACATATACAGTTGAAGTAAATTGTATAAAACGAAGTGTATAAAACGAGAAAGAGAAAGACACTTGAGCAGAGAATTGTATAAACGAAGTGTATAAAACGAATTGTATGATTATAAGTGTATAGAACGATTATATACAATTTGAATTTGTAAAAAATGAGAAAGAAAAATATAAAAGAGACTTGGACAGGGAATATACAATTGAATCGAATTGTATAAAACGAGAAAGAGAGAAATTAGATACAATTTGAATTTGTATAAAACGAGAAAGAGAGAAAGACAAAAGAAACTAGGCAGAGGAGTATTTTTATTGTATAATTATAAGTTCATAGGACGAAAATACATGTACTTGCATGTGTATATACAATTTTCTCACGCTTTACATAAACAGAAACACAATTTTATACATTTCGTTTCTGTTGTATAAGTGAGAAATGCATCTGAAAGAGGAGAGAAAGGGGAATAAAAATATATGTATTTATACAATTTTCTCTGCTTTATATAAATAGAAACAGTATTTATACGATTAGATACAATTTGAATTTGTATAAAACGAGAAAGAGAGAAAGGCAAAAGAAACTAGGCAGAGGAGTATTTTTATTGTATAATTATAAGTTCATAGGACGAAAATACATGTACTTGCATGTGTATATACAATTTTCTCACGCTTTACATAAACAGAAACACAATTTTATACATTTCGTTTCTTTTGTATAAGTGAGAAATGCATCTGAAAGAGGAGAGAAAGGGGAATAAAAATATATGTATTTATACAATTTTCTCTGCTTTATATAAATAGAAACAGTATTTATACACTTGTGTTTGTGTAAAAAATAAGGAAGCGAGCGAGAGATTGGAGCGAGAATGGGAGAGTGGCATGTGAGATTTTTTAGAGAGAGACGACTGACAAATTTTAACAAACGTTTATTATGAAACACAATTAAATTAAATCATCAAATTCTAGATACTCTATTTATTTTGAATTATTAATTTACTATTATATATAATTATTCCTTTAATGAATGATGAGTAAAATACAACCTTAAAGAGTTAAAATTAGATAACAAAGACAAGTTAAAGAGTTAAAATTAGATAACAAAGACAAGTACATTAAAAAAGTATTATGTAGTACAAATATAATTTTTTTTCTAAGAATTCGGTGATAAAATGAAAGAAAAATTAAAAGATGGTTAAGTCAAAGGGTCATAACAAGTGTGAGGGGTAGTTTAGGCATTTCATCTAACGTCACTCGGCTTTGACGGACCAATCACTATCCTTTTATACGTGTTAAGAAAAAACTTCCCTCAGCGATATTTCATTTGTACCGATCCGTTTGAGTTCATTTCAATTTCGCTAAATTCAGATCGAGATCCACAATAAAAAAAACCCTAATTTTGTTTTCAGATCCAAAATGGACGCTCTCGATACTGTTTTCGATCCTCTTAGAGATTTCGCCAAAGACAGCGTAAGGCTCGTCAAAAGGTGCCACAAGCCTGATCGCAAAGGTACTATCATCGATATACTTTTGTTGTTTTTGTAGATGTAGTTTTTCGATTTTTTCTATATGGAGATCTAAGGTTTATGTATCGTTTAAATTTGATCATTTGTGGTACAGAATTTACCAAGGTTGCAACCCGTACGGCGATCGGTTTTGTTGTGATGGGATTCGTTGGATTTTTCGTCAAGTTGATATTCATTCCAATCAACAACATCATCGTTGGTGCTTCTTAAGTGGTAATTTTTCTGCTTTTACCTCTTGTTAGTGCGACTCGGTATTTCAAATCATGATGAAAGTTTGTTGATTTCTAGTTGTTTATTTATATGATGATTGGTAGTTAGATATTTTTTTGGTGGGATCTCGAGACTTGCTTGGTTAATTGCTGGTTCTATGATGTATTATAGCCTGAATAATTTTACAGTGTTAACATGTAGAAGGATCTTATTTGGTAAATTGAAAAATATTTACAAATTGTTCTCAGGTTTAATTATGTTAGGATATGTCGTACAGTAGGCTTGCATGTACTAATATTCAAGTGGTGGCATGAGTTAAGTCAAAGGATCAAAATTGAGCACTTTTTGCCTTAGAAAGGGGGTGATCCATGCTACCCTTAACTGTACACGGGAAATGTTGGACTTTCTACCTATAATTGGAGCTTGGGTTCTGTGATAGATCTAAGTTGATAATGTTACGTTTCAAGGATTCTGTTATAAAGATTGGAACATTGGTTCCTCAATGTTAATGAAGTTTCTTTTTTCAGTTTGGTGCTCCAATAAGTTACTTCAGAAAAGGCATAATGCTTAAGGTAGTTCATCCGAATCAACATATAGTCCGTATTAAGGGTTCATCCAACCAAATACTGAAATTTCTGTGGGGTTCTTGTAAAAACAATAGTATCATCATTTCATATTGCTATGCTCTTTCCTTAATTTTCATTAGCTAGAACAGACATCATTTTTTAGCTCATATAAAGTCAGGAGGAGAGAAGAAACATGATTATCTCGAAGTTGCTTGTTGATTAATAATTTGTCTTTTACCTATTAAAATATCTTAAGAAGCAATATGTAATTATGTCTGGAGGGTTCAGATTGGTAATAACACCATTATGTGACTAGACATTCTCTCTTTTTTAATCCTCTGTTTTGTGGTATTCTTGTTTTCACTTAATTATCATGGATGCCACCAATTCCAAATCACACTCCAGCTCCTGAAAGAAATGAAAGAGTAAACACTCTTTCCCTCTTTCTCTTCTTTATTTTATCTATCATGAGGAATTGCTATTCATATTACTGCTATCAAGAAAAGAAGAGATATAATCACATAAACCAAATGAAATTAAAGGAAAATTTGAATAGTTATACCACCATAAGTGAATATACTAATGATTGTGTCATGGTATATTTATAGTTTCTCCGTTGTCATGCTTTTCAAATTGATCATGTCTAAATGTATTTATAAAGCCAATCCCACTAATTTGGGGGTGAGATTTATAGCATTGTTTAGCCAAGTTTTAAGATTTTTGCATATTTTGAGAAATGCTTTTCGAGAGAGTACTTTCGGAGAGTTGCAGTGTGTGATTTGCTATTCTATTTGAAAAATACTTCTGTTAATATTTGGGAAAAGCTAGTTTAGTTCAGCTGCTCCAAAGCATCTACACTTACCTTCCTTTTTCGAAACAATTGGCCAAACACCTCAACCTTTTCGAACAAGTACTTTTTGAAAGAAAGAAAAAAAGCACTATTGGCTTACCCCAAAGCCTTTTGCCAGTCGATTGAACCATATGTTCACTTTGGTGATATTCATCTTTAACCTCCGCTAAGTTATCTTTGATATTGATCGTTCATCTTTTTCTTTTTGACCGTGAATTGTGTATGAAATTTGTTGAATTTCCAATACTTTGTTTCTTTCTTTATCAATTCCCTTGCCAGTAATACCTGGGACTGCCAACTAAATATTTGTTGATTTATGTGATGATCCTCTGCAATAGACACTGAACTCTGTGTGTGTGTAACTTGCAGGCTATATAAAGGAGAAGTACAACTGGAGATGTAGAGCAAGTGATAAAAAGTGTTGCAAAATCTTAGTTTCATATTGTAATCCGTATGTAGTCTTAGTCTTATTTGTGAACCGCCTGGTTAATGGGGACTTTGTCATCGAGCTTCCCCCCACCCAATCCGTTTTCAGATTTTGTAAACTTTGCTGCTGATGTCAAGACATCTATTTATTTTTTTTCAATATACTTTTTGCACCTTGGTTGGTTCAGTTTTGGATGTTCCTTGATAGAGATTTATGATATGCTGGAAGGCGTTGTTAAATGAGTTTGAAATGGATGGTGAGGAAGGGGTATATCCTTCCGTGCCAGAAACTGATCATCCTGTCTTCTAAAAATCCTGCTCCTGCGGAGTGGTATAACTAAGAAAAATATTATGTTTAATAGTCCGCGAAACACTTTATTTGAAGGTTGATTTATTTAAATCTTCAAGGTTATCCATCTTGGTCTTAATTAGATTATCAGGTGTGTGTGGAAAATAGGGGCAAAATACAATAAAGTAACAAGTCCTGAGCTTTTAGGGAAAATGCTTATGAAAAAGTTTTAGCGAACTTGAAACAAGAGAGAGAAGGTAATGAGGAACCAATACAGCTACATGTGAACATAGCTATATCAGCATATAGAACTGGCAGCTAGCAACCCCAAAAGGATTTTAAAGAGAAATCTAGAAATACACAAAAGTCAAGTTTTATACAGACAGAAGGTTCAAGTCGGTTAAAGTCAAACAATATCCATGACAGAAGCCATAAAAGGTGGATTCACAATTTGAAGAAATTACATTTCCCTATCATAACCATCAGTTTCACATGTGCTGTTAAGCCTCCAAACTGGCAGCAGCGAGATCTTTTAACTGCAGCAAAGGAAAGGGGAGAAAATTTAGTACCAAGGTTTAATGGTTGGACAAGATGGATAAGTTTTTTTAGATCCTGAAGAATAGTCATACAAAAAAAACCATAAATCAAGAAGATACAAAAAGTGTTATATTTGTTGACATGCCATTAAATAAGATAAATTGAGAAACTACAATCAAAACAGACAGAATTGTAGCATATCAGCCTTGATGTTCATTGCAGGTACGCCTACAGTGTAGGCAACATATTTCAACTTTCAAATCAAGATACCACTGTGATATGAAACAAATGACTTCTCCTTTTATATGAAACAAAATACCTAAAGACATTCAAGGAAAGAGGAGAAGTCATCATCATCAATGACATCTGGTTCATGAATCAGAGTTGCACAAAAAAAAAATTCAAAAAATACAGTAATCAACTTGAAGCTAGGTGGATAAATACATGAAAAAATAATGTGCCTGTTAAAAAACAATTGTATTCAACCAGGGATTACCAAAGACAGAAGAATAAAAACTTAATCATATTATCAAGAAGAAGAGGATACAGTGGCTCAAGTTCCATAAAGGTATTATAATTGAAGACTAGTGTGATTGGGCTGATAGGCATTAAGAGAAAATAACAACAAAACAACCAACAATAATCCAAGTGCAATCCCACAAGTGAAGTTATGGGAGGGTACTGTGTAGTATGAAAACAGTCCTTACCCCTACCTTGTGAAGGTCCTGTTTCCGAAGACCCTCGGCTCAAGGACAGGTGAAAAAGAAGTGGTAATAACAAACAAAAACAACATGGAAGTAATAAAAAGACTAAGAAAATACAAGAATAGTGCTAATCCTCTGGGAATAGAAAAGTGTACACATGAAAAAGAGAAAATATGTGCAAATAATGAAGGCCTCTAACAGAGTACCCCTTTTGTTGGTAACCTTGGCCCAATGAGTACTCTTCCACGTGCCAAAACTTGCAACTATTAGCAGCTCCCTAGAAAACTTTCCTATTTTTCTTGCATACATGTTACTAACAGCTCTTTATCCCCAGTCCCATTACTCATACTTCCCTTTCTGCTTCCACCGTCCTCTTCATTAAAATCACTAAAACCCCAAAAGGAGGATGGGCCAAGTGAGGAAAAGGCTAGAAAGAAATCATACTAGTGCTATGATTTATGAACAAGCATTACCAAGAACCTGATAAACTACTGGCTGATTATTTGCTCTAGTACGAGATGTTCCATTGCACTTATTACTCCTTACACAGTTCAGTTACAAGTGAAAATTAAACTCAATATTTTATTTTTTTTTAGAAAGGTAACATTGTAATATTTGGTTCTTCTATCAAAAAAGATCGATGAGAATCTACACTTGCAGTCATAAACTGAAAAGAAGCCTAAAAACAAAAACAACTTGGATCCCCAGTTCATCAAATCTAATCTTAATCAACAATAGATTTTAGGAAATCTACACTTCTATCAACCAATGTAAGATTCTGAACATGTCTAATCCATGGAATGATAACTGATTGAGTCACAAGTAAAAATATACAAGTCACTGGCGCAACTGTCTTTAAACAAGAGATATACAAGAAACACCAGCTCTAGATACCCAAGTCTCCAAGGTGATTTTTTTCGCTCATACACTGGCCAATCTTTTTAACAGAAAAAAATATCTCAATAACAAAAACTAGATAGTTACTTGCATATCTTAAAACCTTACATGTCATTACTTTTTCCCTACTCAGTCACTGTTAAATGTTTGGCACACATCTTTACCTCCTAATTACTTACCACAGCACACAAAATCTCTTTTCTTTATGTGTAAACAAGGGATAAATGATTCAAACATAAATCAGAACTGGATTTTGGAAGGCGAACTGGAAGTGAACAGGGGGCATTGCAGGCTTTGTTTCCTGGACAATTCTCATAATGCACCAATCCTGAAGTCAAAGTAGAGGAGATCTGGGCCCCTCAGGACTGGAATTTAGCTTTCAGAAGGTTGTTAAATGATTGAGAATAGCAAAGGTAGCAGAACTGCTGAGAATAATTGGTGGTTTTTAGGGAACTAATATGGAACCTGGATAACATGGTATGGAAACACCATCAGGATGGTTTGTTGTCAGTAAATGGGGTGTACAATATGATGCTGACTGAAGTAATAGGGAGGTCAACAGGATGCTGCAAGTCTGTACCGAAGAGTGTGGCACCAAACCACCAACTAAGGTGAAATGTTTCACACCTGCCTAGTAGTCAGAAGAGCTTGTCCAACTCATGAAGCATTACAGAGAAAGGGAAGCTGCATTGCTTCAAGATGTGCATTATCTAAGGAGGCTTTAGAAAAAATAACAAGAACTCTCTGTGACCTATGCAATTTGGTTGCAGAATACAATTAACCTACATATCCATTAACATTTACAAGCAAACCACATGTGTAGAGTATCAAAGGAAATGTGTGAGAGAGTATCTGTTGATATAAGTAGAGTACTACAATCAATGTCTTTTTTAGCAAGTTATATGCACTTAATATGGAAAATCACTTCCCTCAATATGCAAAAGAAACAAGACAGGATTAAGGAAGCTATAAGAAAAAACACATGCCAAGTTAAGCAAGTAACCAGTTAATTTAAACATCTACCACCATAACATACGAAACAACCTATCAACCTTCTCATGTAGGACTAAGGTTGTATACACACCACCATCCCCAAAACCCACTAGTGGGATTACATTGGGTATATTGTTGATGTATCTAGCACCACATCACAGGCACAATCAACTAGAGATTGCATGACATCAATCATGCAGTTGCTTGAACTTGGTACTGATTGCCTAAATTAGTTCTTTTTGAAAATAAACGAAGACAACAACTACTCCAGTCAATCCTAAACTAATCGGGCTCAGCATTTTAAACAAAACATTAAGCGCCAATTTCATTCCAATACTCCATGATTCCAGTTTCCACAAAAATGCGAACACTCTTGACCTTAAATCCTCAAAAGGAAAATCAAAAAGAAGAAAATTATCACCAAAAGGAACAAAGAATAAAGCATTTTTACTTTCCAATCGTATTTCTCAAACATCTACCTTAACCAGTATCCAATTCGTTCAATTTGGGCCAATAAGTACCAAAATTTAGTACTTCAAGTTTTAATAAGAAAAACTATTATACCTGACTTCAATCCTCGAAATTAAGCAAGAAAAGGAAGAAATTCACCACTTTCAGGATACAGAATGAAGCATTTTTCATTTTCCAATCTTAATTTTCAAACCCTAGCGAATCCAGATCTAAAGGCAACAAGATAACATAGCAGAAACGACAAACTTACATTTGGCCATCAAGGTTACCCTGTCCACTGCTACCTCCACTAGCATAGGAATTATCGTCTCCAGTCTGCCACACAGATTGCCACGCCTGTGACGGTGGAGGGTGCACATACATTGATGGATCAACCCCAGGAACAGCAGGCCTACCAAGCATCACTCCACCCGGAGCCGGCTGGCCCATCGGAGGGTAATAGTACGGCACACCACTAGCAGTAGAACCCACAATTCCGGGTCCAAGCCCAACACCCTCATCCTTAATTTCATCCCTAGGAACGATGTCAACCAGAAAATCAAAAATATCAGTACGAGTAATCGCCGCAGCGATGTCATTCTTCTGTAAAGTCCTGCGCTTGTTTTCCTCAGCGTGAAGCCACGAACGGATGGTGAGCTCCAGAATGAAAAGCTCACAAGCTTTCGCGAACAGAACTGGAGCTTCAGCAGAGATCATACGAACATCTTCATCAGCTTTCATGATCTTTTTGATACGAGCAAGGGGAAGTTGGTGGTTTTTGAAATCATTGACTTGCTCGATTTCTTGACGCTGGTAAGTCCAAAACATCTGTAGCTGCTGCTGTTGCTGCTGAAGGAGATGGTGGTATGGAGTCTGCGACGGATACGTGGCTGACTGAGCCGCCGCTGCCGCTGCTGCGGCCGCCGCAGCGGCCTCAGTCGGAGATTGGTGAGGGTTGTTGTCCATGGCGGTTTGCGGAAAATGGAAGCTACTATCTGTGTAGAGAAAATGGGAAAGGTGTAATGGTGCTCTGCTCTAGCTTTGTACTTATTTATACAGTTCCATTTTTTTTTTCTAAAAAACAGCTTTTATTTTCTATTTTTAAAAAATGGACTTATAATATTTAATTCTAAAACCGTATTTGTTTTATATTAAACTAGAATCCAAATATTACTTTAATATATTTTATTTTTACTACCAACTACTTTTTCTTATCATGTTTTATGTATGACCACTTTTTTGTTTTCTGGAGCGTTCTTTTTTCTTTTCTTTTCTTTTCTTTTTTCAAAAATTGGGAATGGGAAAGGAAAAATATATTGAATGATTTCTTTTTGAAAGGTTTTAAAATATCTAATAACCATTTTTCTTTTGCAAAGGCTATTATTAGTGGTATTATGGAAGTATTCTTAGTCAATGTAATTTATTATTCTCTTTATTTTAATTTATTTGATCTATTCATTTCAAAAAGAAGAATCTTTTTATTATCAATAATTTTTAAATTTTAATTTTTCATATAATATATTTATGAATTAAGATTATAAAATTTAAAATTTTACTTAATTTTCTTAAATTTCAAATGAAATTAGAATAGACCAAAGTCCAAGTTGAGGAAATTCATAAGTGAGTGATTACAGTATGAGATTTTTCGAGAAGCATTGGAGCATTTGATACGCCTTGGGCCTAGTAGTGATTGACTATTTTTCTATTATTTACCTAAATCTGGTAATATTAATAACTAATTTCTATTTTTTTATATTTATAAGAATTTTTTAAAATTTGTCTGAGGGATCGTTTAATATAATATATAAAAATAATGTTAAATAAAATGTATTGATAATGTTTGCATTAATTATATTTAGTGGAAAAACATAAAAATGACACCTGAAGTTGTTCTAAATTTTCAAAAAAGACATCTAAAATTTGTGAGCGTTCTATTACCCAATAAAACTATTTCAATCACAATAATTATACACTTTTAGCTTATTTCCATAACAGTTGTGTTTTCACATAAAATAGGCGCGTTTGAGAAGTAAAAATAAATTGTCAAATCAACGTACAAATGTCACATGGCACTGACAATTTGAACTTTCTTCTTTATTAAATACCTACTTTATATCTTCTCCAAAATCTTCATTGATAAATGTTGAAGAGCTTTCTATCTAAAAAAAAAAAAGTTAATAATAATCCATTATCAATAAAATTATCGTTTAACTTTACTAGCTTCAATTTTTTTTAAATTATTTTATTTAAAGTTATGTGAGCAATAAATTTGTAAATTATGAAATTGCAATCGCAAACAAATTTCACCAACATGACATTTTTAAATCAAAATTTGCATTCAAATCAACAAGCAATTAATATATGAGCCTATACTTTTCCGTTTTGATTCCATAATTTAAGAAATTATCACAGTAAATAATTTTACTGTGACTATTGAAATGCTTAAGGTTTTGATCATCAAAGAGAGAGGTTAGAGTGATAATTTGAAAGGGGTTTAGGATTTAATGGAGTGGGTCATAATTAAAATGAGAATGAGTCAAGATTTTAATTCAATTTTCACTAAATGAGTTGGAAAAAATTATATTATTAATTGTGGTGATACTCATGCTCATACATTGAGAATGTAGACTGTGTAAAAAAACTATGTATTTATTGTGATTTTAACATGTATAATGGAATACGTTTTATTTTTTTCAAAAAAAAAGGTCGATAAATTAAAGTTGTATTCTTTCTATTTAAAAAGTCATTTCTTTGAAGGATAGTTATGAAATAATACAAAGTCTTTTTATATTTTATAAACTCTGTGCTCAATTAAATTACGTGATATTATCAAAAGGAAAAAATACCAGTATAAAAAAAAATTATTTTTAAAATTGACTAAAATAAAAAAATGTGATAAATTTTGACGGATGGAGTATTTTTTTGGGCCTACACGATAATATACCCAATTTAGTACACTCCTATTAGCAATTCTTTTTTTCTTTTTTTTTTTTGAAGAAGCGAAAAGGTTAGCTAGGGTCCACGGGCTGCGGAGAAATGTCCATTGAGCAATGACCAATTATAAGATGACACGTAGATAAAAACTTTAATTTTTTGGAATTGTAATAACACATCACTGACAGCAACTTCATGATTTTTTAATGAAAAAAAGTACTCTAAGTAGTCATGTCATTTCAGTTGGTGAGATATTTTTAAAGTAAATTAGTATTTTTATGATTGATGATTTGCAACTCCCATGGAAAAAAGATTTCATTGAATTCAAAATTTCTAATTAAGGATTTTCATATTTTACTTCAGTCATTGTTGTTTATATCACAATTAATTGCAACTTTATTTGTAATAAAATAATTAAAAATAATGTTAAAGTATTGACTAAGTGTGTGTATCGTTCGGTTCGGTTATATGCATGTATTATCGGTTTGATTTATTAATTTTAGATTTTTAAATATGCTAACTCAATAATAAATCAATAAGATATTTTTTATCGATTTCGATTTATCAGTCTTTTGTCATTATCGGTTTGATTTTTGGTTTACCCAATAGAAAAATATCCGTAAAATATCGTATGTCTTCTTATTTCTCTAAATGCTTTGATATAGAGAAACGAGAAACGTAATGATAAATTCCGTCAATAAGAGAAAATATAGTACAAACTACAAAGGTTATAATTACATGTTACCACCAAAACATAGTTTGGAAACTTTTATGATAATCAAATTACAGATTTACAAACTTGCAAATGCTACAACCTACAACCTACAATTAACACACTAAAACTAAAATAAAAAAGTTCAACAAGATTAAAACTAAAACTAAAATCAAATACTCAAGTTGTGAACCCCTCACTTTAATCTTTATGTTTTTAGTAAATAGTAAAAACCAGTAAAATGACCTAGTCTGAAGTTAGTAGAGTACTAATAATTTTTGATATAGTTTTAGTGTCTAATTATATATTAATTTATTTATATTTAATAATTAGAAAAGGTAAAATAATAAATTATCACCGTCTTATTGAGTTCTCGGTTTACCCAATAACCCAATAGTAAAATCTGATACCGAACCAACAACCCAATAATTTTTTTTATAAACCCATTAAAAACTCAATAATTTTTTAAAAAAGAATTCAATAACCCAATAATATTTTTTTCGGTTCGGTTTATCCGTCGATTTGATTTTTGCACATCCCTAGTACTGGTGACAGTAGATTACTTGTCCTAATATTTTAAAGAGCAACTTTCAAATATAGCAAACACAAAATTCATATTTGTATGTTTTAGCAAAGTTTACATAATTGCGCTCCATAGCAAATATCGCTATACATATTTAAAAAAAACAGTTGTATAATTCGCTATATATATATAAAGAAAATAATTGTATAATTCACTATACAGATGCAAAAGAAAGCAGTTGTATACAAATCAATTGTAGAATTTGTGTATGTATAAAACGAGAAAGAGAGAAAGACAAAAGAAAACTGAGCAGGTAAATATTTGTATTGTATAATTATAAGCGAATATGACAAATATATATGTATTTGCATGTGTATATATCATTTTCTCTCACTTTATACAAACAAAAATGCAATTTGTACATTTCGTTTCTGTTTGTTTAAGCCATAGAGATGAGGGTGACGAGCGAGATCTGGTAGAGTGGTGAGGAGGGGAGAAAGGGGAACGAAAATATATGTAATATATATAATTTTTTCTCGCTTTATACAAACACAAACACATTTTATACATTTGAGTTTGTATAAAAGCAGAGGGAGCGAGCGAGAGAGAGTTTGAGGGAGAGAGGAGATTGACAAACAGTTTGCTACAGCGCACAATTAAATCAAAGTATGATTATAACACTTAATTTATTAATTTGCCATAATATACAATATTTCCTATTTTAAATTACTCATTGTATTTATCATGTGTTGTATCCTTTACTTGGCAATATTACCTACTCATTGAAAAGTGAATAATGTATAATTGTAGATTAAGTTAATTAGCAGTGTCATTAACGTGAAGTCGATATGTCCGAGTGGTTAAGGAGACAGACTTGAAATCTGTTGGGCTCCGCCCGCGCAGGTTCGAACCCTGCTGTCGACGCTTTTGCAAGTTTTTTTTTTCTTTTTTTCGCTTTTGCAAATTCTTATTAATTTCTTCTCGCTGTTAATATACTCTATCTGTTCTCATAGCTACGAAAAACTGCATCCTTTGTCTTCCTAACATTGAATTAAAGGTCAATTCATCTGTCATGATCTGAATTGGTTAAAGGCACGTGAAAAAATGGGAAAACAAAAGGCAGTGAAGTTCTTACATACAACTCTCAGTCTCATCTTCTTCTCTGTCTCTATCATATCCTACACTCACTTTCATATTCTTCTTCTGAAGTCTGTATTGAGTAGCAATATCAAGTCACGGTGACAGCCGTGATTCAATTTCTTATAGTTTCATACTTCATTTTCATCGACAATTATTGTGATTTTTGCTTTGAGTTGAAATAAATGGAATACTCTTTAGCTTATAAAATTTTCCTCAAGCTTAAGGATAGCAATAGTTGTGCAGTTGTACAAATGACGTAAAGGGACGTTGTCTACCATCCCTTGCAAAGAATAGAATTAGAACACATAGTTGGTGCATTACATGTGTTTTACGTAACAAATACAGTATATCACAGTCCCGTATGAAATATAAACTCCTGACAACTCTTGGCACTAAAATTTGCGTGGCGTTGCCAGTTCATTCTTGAACAACGCAAGAGATTTATTTGGTGCAATTTACATCACTCAAAATGAAAACCTGCAAATCTGGATTGCAGACGAGGAAAAGGTAAAATGATCCCAAAACAGCGCAAGTGTCCAATTCTATAACACCAACATTCAGTCAAATATAATTGGTTCATCGAGCTCATATGAATCAATATGCTACTCCAATTCCTGGTTTATCAAGAGTGAACTTCTTTCAAGTAATTAGTTACCAGATCTCCTT